CTCGTCTACCGACGACAATCGCGATTAATGGCAGGTCTAATCGGGAGAGACTCTTAAATAACAGGATCCCCTTTGCGTGTCGTAGCTTCTGTCGATACCGTTGTCAAACGAGAACGTACGTTTCCATTATTACCCGGGGGGCTAGTAAACGTTCCCGCGCGAGTTCCACGATACGAGTAACCATTTCCAGGCCGCCGACCGTGTAATTCGCGCGAGTCGCCGAACAATACGATTAAGTCTTTTGTGTCGTCGCAACTTCCACCCTCTTCCTAGCTTCTGACCCGCATATTTATAGATGTAGGGGTATCGGAGTAAAAGACATCTGTGATTCGGTTGCGCGAGCACGAGCAACCGTTCGGCTCCATTACACCCGCGCTCCCTTTTTAACACCCTCGCACCGCGAGGCACGCAGGGATCCGGTGTCCCCGAGCTGGCGGTGCACGCGTCCCTGAGCATTTGCACGCGAAACGATCTCAGCCCTGCGAGGAATTCCTTCCAATCGGGTGAAACGGCCTCTCGTCGATACCTCGGATACGCCCGAGGGTTCCCACACCGTTTCCATCTCCGCCGGAAATAAATTATAATCACGAGCTTCCTGCCGGAATTTACCTTCCACCGGGGGACGCCTGGAATACAGACAACGCGCGAGCACGTAGCCCGAAGGAGGCAACGATTCTCTTACGCGGACGGGACGAAAGCGGAAAAATGAACACGGTCCCGACTATTGGGAGAAACGCTTGAAAATTTCGCGGCGTTTTATGGACTGGAGGAAATGAGGAAACATCGGTTGCGTGTGCGATATGTGCGCTTGTAGAGTTTACGAACACGCCCGGAACATACGGAGCCCCATGGGAACAATAACTTTTGCCAGGAATAACACCATAAATTCGCTGCGAGGGCGGTGGCAACCGGTGCTTTTGCTTTACGACCCGCGCGGTGGTAGTTCGGCTTCATCATCGGCCCGGGGTTCGTTAACAACTCCGTTTCCGACGTACGTACGATTGCTCGTACGTTGATTACCGTTGATGAAGACTCTCGCTTCGCGTTCGTCGGAAATGTCCCGACTGATCGCCGCTCGCTTCCTCTTCGAGCGGAACTTTTCAGGAGATTAGAGCTTATCTGGTAGCGTCGCGGTTCCTTATCTCAATGGACAAGAACAAATTGCTGTCTACTTTCCTGGTAACCGTAACGTTTCGATCTACGCCGGAGATCACGGAAGATCGTTGGCTCGGTAAACACAGGCTTTTAAAGGGTCTAGGCGGGGGCCGAGGTTCCGACATCTGGCTTCTTATCGGCGGCTGCGAATCCGAAAAGGAGGTTGCTCGCAGAGATCGCCGGACAAAGGATCCGGAACGGATTCTCGACGCCACTCGCAAGGCCGCGCGGGGATCCTCGTGCATCGCACAAAGAAACCAGCCTTTCAAACGACTGTGAGAGGAACCCACGCGCCCACTTTCCGTTTATTTATGCGTCCCGCGCATTAATACGACTGACGATGAGATCCGAAAAACGAGACGACTTTTCCGCGCGATTCAGCGCGATGACCTGCATTCGCCGGCTCGTGTCAGTGATAAGCGATAATAATGTGTGCCACGGATCTGGGGCATTCGGAGAACACGCCAGCGGGTACCGTACACCTATTCTTCGCTGCGGATTATAATATATCCTTGCTCTCGTTCACAATCGGCGAAAGAAGCGCGTGGGAAACGATTCTTTCCGCGTTGCTACCGCCTCTAAGATCGATCGACGCGATCGCGAGATAAGAGGCAAAGGTTTCAGGGAATTCAACGGAAGAATTCTGCTCGGAATCCAGCGAGCGGTTTGCACAGGTGATCCGTGATAACGAGGCGTTCGCTTTTGTGCGTCGGTGTCGATTGAAACGCGTCCGCGACTAGCCTCGGCTCCGGGGAACGCGAAGGCATAGAACATGAAAGCACAGGCAGAAGGTTGGTCGCACAGTTGTCGGTGGTGTTGGTTCGTCGATCGGCTTCCTCTCTTTCTTTCTCCGGGTTGACTTCCTGCCGTGTTGCTGGGCTCGGTCGGCCTCGGCCGTCCTTGCCCCTCGCGCTAGGCACCACGCCGTTACCAGCTACTAACTGGCACGAAAACATCAACCGGTCGAATGGATTAGAAAGGCTCTCTCGCATGCCAGTGCCTTCTTCTCCTCTCTCCTCTTCTTTTCTCCCCGGCTCTCCTTGTCGCGTTACGTGCGTAGGAGGGAAAGTTACCAGGCTCCCCTGCCCGCCGCGCCCTTCCCCTCCTCCTCGTTGTTCTCCTCTTCCTCCCGTGTGCTTTCCGAAGGAAGCTGCGTCCTCGTCCCGGAAGATCGACGTCCGTGCGCAAAAACGAACCGGAACGAGCCGAATCGAGTCCTCGTCCTCTCGCCTATGTACAGGGGGACTGGTCAACCCGCGGGAAGCCGAAGGAACGGCGGGGAACACACGCATCTGCAGTTTCGACCGGCGGGAGACGCGTTCGTTGTCCTTCGCCGTCGAGCGAATGGGATCGCGTGCCAAATTATCCTTGGGGGAACGTATCGTGTGTCGGGTTTAGACGAATTAGAAAAGAAACGAGAGGAACGGGCTACCTGACGTTTCCGGGGGAACGTGCCTCTTTTCTAAAGGAAAATTCCGATCGACCGGCGGGCAGGAGAGAGAGACCATCCTTCTGGTTCGCGGCGCTGACTCGAGGCTGAGGCTAATCATCCTCGCGAGCATTCGTTACCAGTGCACCGCAGCTCCACGGTATTAATGGACTCGAATGCCCGTGAAATCGGCGATGGGAAGGAAACGGCGTTTCATCGTTCGACTCGATGATACAGCGTGTGCCGCATCGCTTCCCAGGATCATCGATTACGACTGCTATCCTAGAAAACTGGTTGCGCGCCGCGTAGATTACTCGACGAGCGATGAATCAGCGGCGCATCATCGGGAGTCGTTCCCCGATGCGAGCGCGATGCGTTTCCTCCTCGAAATCCTCTCGAACACGGTAATGCGCCACGTCCGGTCTCGCTTCGGAGGTTTCGCGATAACACAGGCACCCCGGCTGCGCGTTCCCAAGTTCGCGGCCCTCGGAATCCTCTTCCGTCGGCGTCTTTCCCTTCTTCCATGAGATCGCGGCTAGCAATTGCCACGGTCCACGCGCGAGGCCAATTAGAAATGCTTTAGCACGCGGGACGCGTAATCCTTGCTTCGGCACGTCCTTTCCGTTTCTCGTCCGACTTCGGCGAGAACGCGTCGCGATCCTCCTCGAAACGGGTGGTCAACGTGTCTCGGTGGATTTAGATAAGTCCTTGGGACACCAGCTTCTGCCACCGACAGTCTGTTACACCGTCGTCTTTCCGCTATCTGTAACCTACTGATTCTGGTACTACCAGATACTCTGTTCGCGGCGCGCGAACCTCGTATTTTGCAAAACAGTTTCGTTCGTACGGAAATATTATCTCGCCGGTATGCATTAATTGCGTCAGCCAGGTTCGTCGGAAGCGCGAGATAACTCGATTAAGAAACTCGTCCCGAAGTGTCGCAAGATCCTGTTGAGAAACGCGTCCATGGCGTTCTTGGTCGTCCGGTCGAATTTCTTAATAGAATGTCGGCCGAAGGTGGGCCCCGACGAATATCGTACGAAGCGGCGATCCGTCGCGTCGCACGCGTTCAGCTCGAAGCCCGCTGATCCGCGGATATAAACGGCGCGACGCGTCTCCGGCGCTGCGCGAAACAGGAATAACTGCGTCACAGTCTCGGCATCGAAACAACGGTTATCCTTATCGAGATTAGCTGATTTATCTCGGCATTGGAAGCTGCACCGACTTATTAGGAGATCTATAATGCAGAGGCGCGCTCGCGGCCCCTCTCTTTCTCCAGCTGGCTCGCCGCGTCGCTGCTCTTTCGCCGCGAAATCGATAAATTATGCATTCAATTATTCATGCTCGCTCGCCATAATCATGTACGGTGGTTGACAAGATCCTGGCACGCTTTACAAGCCTTCTGGCTCTCCGCGAATGCTCGCCGATCCCAAGGTCCCAAGTTCCGTTTATTCGACCGATCGTAACCGGTTGATTTATCGGCACGGTTTCTCACGCTCCTGCCACGTAATCTCTGCCTCGCGATCTCGCCGAACCGTCGTGCGTTTAGCCCGCTCGACGCGGGCTGCCGAAAATTAAGGAAACCTCGCCGCTCCGTCGTCTCTTGCGCAGAAACTGCGGCATCGAAGTCTCCACGCGGCGGCGTCCCGCCGTACCTATATACCAATGGTGCGCGGCTGGCCATCGGACCGATCCAGAATCGCGTTACGAGACTCGTCGGTCGGTTGCGATCGATTCCTTTCGACGTACGGTGCGTCGCCCGATGAACAATAATACAGGCACCAGGTTTTCTTGTTTAAAAGAACGAATTCAGCAGGCACGTTCAGAGGAAAATATTGTGATTACAATTTTAGTAACCTTCAGAGTAGTTGCCAAGCTCGCTGAAATGCCAAACAAATGTAACTACCATATGCTCTGCTCTATACCATACATCTTTTGTCTGAAGCATCTTTCGCATCACTTGTATTTCTCAAGTCGTAGAATTTTGTTCGAAAAACGAGCTTTCAAACTTACTCGAACACCTCTCTATTGGAACGACCGACACAGAGTTCGAGATGCCAGTGGTCAGAAGGTTTTCGCGCGACCGCGATTCGTTCGATCGCGTTTCATGGTAATTCGGATGGACACGGGAAAGGAGCAATCGGACGGCGAAATACGCGCGAACCGAGACGAGCGTGCCGGGGTCCGTGCGATAGAAGAGGAAGTGGCGGCCGGTGCATGCCTGTCGGGGTGCATCTTTCTTTCGCGTTGCTCGCCGCGTCGTTGGTGCAGCAGCGAGCGGAGAAGGTTGTTCGGCTCGTTTCGGAGCGGTTCGGTCCGGTTCGGTTCTGTAGACCGTCGACTGTCACCGGTTAGTTCGCCGTGGTGGGGATGTACTTTCCCCTCCATGCCACGGAGATAGCGAAGGAGCTCTCGAAGCACGGAGAGTGGGGATCGCGCGAAGCCGCGGCGGAAGGTTCAATTGTTGGTGAACCGTCGCGAGGAGCGGTCGCGCGTGATAAGGCTCGCACGATAGAAGCGCGTGCCTCGTATCGCGATCGGTGCGTGCACTCCGTGGAGACGTCCTCGATACCGGGTTGTCGTCGCCAGGTCCGCGCTGTGCCGAGACGCGCCAGGATTTGTCAGATAACGGAGAGATGCGTGCCGCGAATTGCCGCGACAGTGACGTGGTGATCCGTTCGCCGTTACGTTGTAGACGCGAGTAAGCCCGTGGAAATCTAACCCAGTGACCGAAGCGGAGAAACCACCTTCCCCTGTTTCTCTCTTTACTTTTACTCCCCGTTTCGACCCCGTTCGGTTTCCCCGCACCACACGGATACTTTTCAACGAGGATAATAGCTGGCTGTGATAATCGCTGCGAGTGAAATTTTTGATAGTCTTCTTCTTTTTTTTGTGCGACTTTTGTTGGCGAGCCGTGTGGTTCGTCGGCTCGGCATTCGCGGTCGTCGCGGCTCGCCGTACGAGCCGACAACGGAAATTTCGGATTATCCGACCACCGTTTGGAGTTGTTGATACGGTTGACGCATCGTCGTACCGGCAGCGGCCATGACGGCGGACAGCCTGTTCGAGACTACCAGCATCCCGGGGCATCTCGCTCCCACGCCCCAGAGACTGGAGAGGCTTCTCTCGAAACAGACCCTCGAGGAGCTGTACGAGGTCGAGGAACAACCTTTCGCACGGTAAGTCCGACATCTCTCCTCTCTCCTTTCCCCTTTCTTTCCCTCCCCGTCTCATCTCTTCTCATCTCATCTCATCTCATCTCATCTCATCTCATC